TGTGGTAGCCTCCTTTTACCCTGCTCTTGACCCACAGAAAGCACCGTCTGAAGGCCCCACAACCCTATTTCTGGAGGAGTGGTTAAGGAGAGAGCAAATGAGCCTGTCGATGATCCACAAACATGACGCCTTCAATGAGATGGACAGATTCCTGGAGGGTCACAGCCTGCCAAAATGGACCCAGAAGAAGTAGAAAACCTGAATAGAAGTATAACAGGTACAGATACTGAATTTGCAATAACATATTTAAATGATCCACAAAGAAAAGCCCAGGCCCAGCCGGCATCACTGGCAATTCTAACAAACTTAATACCACAAAATAACAATAATGCATAAATTATCAAGGGTTCATGAGGGAGGGGGCAGTGGGGAGGGAGGGGGAGAATGAGGAGCTGATACCAAGGGCCCAAGTAGAAAGCAAATGTTTTGAGAATGATGAGGGCAACCAATGTACACATGTGCTTGACACAATGGATGTCTGCAGGGATTGTGATGAGAGCGGTACGAGCCCCGGTCAAATGGTTTAAAGACTTCATACCAAAGGGAAGGGCACGTCTTAGTTTATCCAAAAGGCTGACGACCCTGACATGCAACCAGGGACGACGCCTGGAGAAAACGACAAATGTCCCTGCTAGAGACAGACCCCAATCCTCAACAAGTCACTACAAACAAGACCAATCGACATCTAAAAAGGATTATACACCAGGACCAGTTGGAATCATTTCAAGGAATGAACGGTGGGTTCAACTTCCAAAATTCAATGATTGCAATGTATCCTATTGATAAGATAAAGGAGAAAAACTATGTGCTCATCTCAATAGAAGAAAAAGGGGTATTTAATAAAATGTAATTCCTTTCATGATTAAATACACTCAACAAAGTAAGACTAGAAGGGAATTAACTTCCCCAACTTGATAAAGGGCATCTATGAAAAGCCCATCCCTAATGTATTAGTGCATTAACCAAAAGCAAGGCTCCAGAAATGGATGGAACACCAACTGAAATGTTTCAACAAGCTGATGCAGCGCTGGAAGCACTCACTCGGCTATGCCAGAGATTTGGAAGAGAGGTACTTGACCAACTGACTGGAAGAGGTCCATATTTGTACCCACTCTAGAGAAAGGTGACCCTGAATAATGTAGAGAGGATCAAACACTATCATTAATATCATATGCAAGTACAATTCTGCTGAAGATCGTCTAACAACGGCTGCAGCAGGACATTGGCAGGGAGTTGCCAGACGTTCAGGCCCAATTCAGAAGAGGACTTCATTACTGATGTCAGACGAATCTCGACTGAGAGCAGAAAATACCAGAAAGATGTTTACTTGTAGTTTATTGACAGTGACAAGGCATTCGACTGTATGGGTCATACAAAGCAATGGAGAGCCCTGAGAAGAAAGGGAATTCCAGAGCACTTCATTGTGCTCAGGAGGAAGTGGTCCACGCATGGATGTTCTGTTCCAGTTGTTGGAACAGAACAAGGGAATCCTGCATGGTTTAAAACCAGGAAAGGTGCGCAACAGGGTTGTGTCTTCTCACCAAAGTTGTTCAATCTGTGTGCTGAACAAACGATCAGACAGCTGGATCCTATGAAGAAGAGTGTGGCCATAGGACTTGAGGAAGACTTCTGAACAGCCTGTGATGTGCAGACGACACGCGCTTGCTTGCTGAAAGTGAGAGGACTTGAAGCACTTGCTGATAAGATAAGGATTGCAGCCCTCAGTATGGATTGCAACTCAATGTATGGAAGCCCAAAATTCTCACAAGTGGACCAACGGATAACATCTCGATAAATGGAGAAAAGGTTGAAATTGTCAAGGATTTTGTCTTGCTTGGATCCACAATCAATGCTCATGGAAGCAGCAGTCAAATATCAAATGAAGCATTGCACTGGGTCACTGTGCTGCACAAGACCTCTTTAAAGTGTTGAAACGCAAGGAGGTTACTTTGAGGTCTAAGGTGCGGCTGACCCGCACCATGGGATTATCAGTTGTCTCCTATGCATGTGAAAGTTGGGCATTGAATAAGAAGACCGAAGGAGAGTCCATGCATTGGAATCGTGGTGCTGGCAAAGACTATTGGAAGTACCGGGGACTGCCAAGAACAAAGAAATCTATCTTGGCAGACGCATGCTCAGACTACTCCTTAGAGGCAAGGATGGCTGGACTTTGTCTCAAGTACTTTGGACATGTTGTCAGGAAAGATCAACCCCAGGAGCAGGCATCTGGGCCTAACTGAAGTGGAGACACCTTGATGATGAGGTGGGACTCAGAGCTCAGAAATAAACCAGTGCAGGATGGTCCACTGAGTTCCTGCAAGGGCGCTGTGGGCACCCAGGAACAAAATGTAACCTTTACAACAAATAGTACCGGGAAAATGACACATACAAAATAATGCACATGAAACCATGAAATTAGATCCCAACCTCAAATAATATAAGACCAATGAACTAAAAATGAATCATAGAAATTAACACAAGAGTTATAGCTATAAAGGAAGGTCTTAAAAGAAAATGTAAGAGTAACTTTTGGGCCTTGAGTTTCAAAATTGCTTCTTAGCTAAACACCAAAAGTACATGAAACAAATGAAAATAGATCATTTGGGCTTCACAAAATTAAAAACTTTGTGTTGGAAATAATACCATCAAAGGGTGAAAAAGAACTTACAGACTAGAAGAAAATGTTTACAAATCCTACACCTCATGAGGGACTTGCAAGATGCTCAACACTGTACATGCACATTACAGCCGCGATATGATGCCACCTCCCGCGAACCACGGTGACGATAACAAAAGCAAGGGCAATAACGAGTGCTCGGGAAGCTGCGGAAAACTTGGAACCCTTCAGGATTGCACCCTGAGGTCTCGATTTTGCCTT